AAAGTGCTGGGATTACAGGCGTGAACTACCGCACCTGGCCCAAATAGGCTATTCTCAAAAGAATACACACAAATGGCCAACAGGCATATTTTTTTAATGCTCAAAATCATTAATCATCAGGGAAATGCTATCAAAACCACAATGAGATATCATCTTACCCCAATTACAATTGTTATTATCAAAAAGACAAAAAATAAAAGATGCTGGCGAGGATGTGGAGAAAAGGGAACTCATACACTGCTGGTGGGAAATGTTATGGAAAACAGTATGGAGGTTTCTCATGAAACCTAAAAATAGAACTATATACAATCCAGCAATCCCACTACTGGGTATTTATCCAAAGGAAAAGAGATCAATCAGTATGTCAAGGGATACCTGTACCCTCATGTTTACTGCAGCACTATTCACAATAGCCAGGATATGGAATCAATCTAAGTGTCCATCAATGGGTGAATAGATAAAGAAAATGGTTATATATACACAATGAAATACTACTCAGCTATAAAAAGGAAATCCTGTCATTTGCAGCAACATAGATGGAACTGAAGGTCATTATGTTAAGTGAAATAAGCCAGGTACAGAAAGACAAATATTACATGTTCTCACTCATATGTGGAAGCTAAAAAAGTTCATCTTAAGGCGTAAACAGTACAATGATAGGTTGGTGAATGGTTACAAACATATAGACAGAAGGTAAGTTCTAGGGTCTGATAGCACAGGGTGACGATCATTAACACTATATTGTATAGTTCATAATAGCTAGAAGAGAATATTTGAAATGTGCCTAACATAAATAAGAAACGTTTGATGTGATGAATAGCCTAAATACCCTGATTTGATCATTACACATTGTATACATGTAACAAAATATCACTTGTACCCATAAATATGTACGATTATTATGTATCAATTTTTAAAAGCATCAAGAAGAAATTAGCAGTCTAATTCAGCATATCCTTAAGTTCAACATGTGAGATGTTGAGATGTTGACATAATGACAAACATCAGTAATTTTTGTACTTCTGTCAGTATTTTAACCATATCCACATACCTCCTACACTGTTGTTTCCTTGATATTGTTTTAAGTTGACTCTTTTTTACTTATACTTCTTTATAAAAGGAATTAGTGGACTGCAAGGTGGCATAAAAAGGTAGGAGAAAAAGAAAAAAGAAGATCATGGCTGAAAAGAAAAGGCACTCAGGGTTAGAGGCAAGGAAGACAGGTAGGGGCAGGTCCAGGATTGGAGACACAGGATCTATGGGGTGAAGGTGACCCAGCACAGACATAAGAAGGGATGGAAGCTGGGCAATGAGAGAATAATAGAGAAATGCCAGGGAATGGGGATACTTGTAGCAGGTAGCATAAAGCTGTGCCTTGAAAGAACACAAGGGACAGAGAATAAGCATGAGGGCCAGGGAGGCTGGAGACTACTGGGGCCAAGAAACTAAGGCAGGGCAAAGTGTGAGGCCCAGGCAGGGATGCTGGAAGGAGAAGAGGGAGACTAGAGGTAGGAATGAAGGAAAAGCTGAGGAATGGGTGGGCTTAAGGAGGGCCCACAGTGAATGGGTGGGGCAGCAGTGGACAGCCCAACAGAAGCAGGCATCAGGGAAAACAGATTGTTTTCTGGACTGTGCCAGGCAGTGGCCAGCAAGATAAGCTCAAGAAACATCTGTAAATCACCTAAAATCATCTCATGTACTACCAGTGGTGGACATTCCCACATGCTGGGAAACTGCCTGATGCTCTACGAATAAAGAGCAGCAGTCTTTCATTCTTCCCCTTTCATTACCAAAAAAATATTACATGTAAACAAAGGAACCTAAACCCCTACCTTACTTGTCAGGTCCCCATGAATACACCAAAACTCAACAACGAAAAGCAATGTGACTTCTTTTATATACAACTCATGCTTCTTATCTCTATGAGCTCTTTTGTTTTGATAGACAGTCCCCACCATAGCAACCATCTCCTTAGTCAACGTCTATAAGCACAGAATACAATCAGCAGAATTGACAAACGCCCAGTAACAAACACCGTAAAAACAGCATCTATTATTAAGGAGAATAAATCATCAAAATAATGTCTGAACAAGCTGGTAGTACACTGTCAAATAAATTCTTGCATGTAGTTAAGTACAGCCCTAGAAAACAATATCCTTTATTTTTTAAATCCTTACCCTTAGCTGAACAATGATGGGGGAGACAAAAGATTAGTCTGCAATCATCAAGCCTACGCTGTTATTTCTTTGTAAAGTTTATTTCAGCTCCAAGATGTGTTCTAATGTTTCCTCCCTTTTCCTAGGTGTGTCAAATCACAGATTCACTTATCCTCCAGTCACAGCCAAGTGAGTGACTCAGGCCAGCATACAGCTCATCGATTATTTCAATTTCCTGGGATAAACTCATCAGTTCCCACTTCTCATTTCCTATCCCCTCCTTACTTTCTTGAGGCCTGTTACTTTCAAGATGACATAAGGCACGACAATGATGAGGGCAAAATGATATAAAATCTTCAAACAAATCAAAGGAGCTAAATTCTGTTATACTTAAGAAAGATCAAATCTAAGGGAATTCTGTTCACCGCCCAGAAAGGCAGGTTCATCTTTCATTCATTTATTCATTCATTCCTTCAACAAATATTTATTGAGCATCTTTCATGATCTAGCTCAGCCTAACATGCCACTTTAAAGCATGCCATTTTCTATGCAATGTTAGGTAACATTCATTACAAGAGGAAAGGTGCTATAACTGAAAATTCTTTTTGAATATGGATGTGGGTATGCACACATGTATAATACTTCAGTACTGATTAACCAGAACTGGGAAACATAATCAACACCCAATCTCCAAACACCTGGAAATCAAACACCCTACACAGTCAAGAGCTACTGGTCTAAAACCTCACATTAAGGAAAACCCTTAAGAAAGACACATAAACTTTCAAATTACAGCCATATGTGGTGATCAAACATGCATGGAAGACCACATAATTCTTGCAACCAGCTTTTGCTATCCAAGGGGACAGGTTAATCTATCAACCCATAAATTCATTAACCTGACATTTCCAAAATGCCTGACACTATATATGCACTAACACAATAACTTTCCCCCAAATTCTATGATGTAGGCATTATTATTAGTATTCCAATTTTTAAGATTAACAAACTGAGAATTTGGTTAAGTATAGCTCTAGAAAACAATGCCTTTTATTTTTTAAGTCCTTACCCTTAGCCTTTTATTCAAGGGCACTTAGAAGGCAATGGAGCCACAACTTGAACCTAAGTTTGTGACTCATGGATTCAAGCATTTCTAAAAGATAAAAATAAATTGGTAGTATTATAGCTTATACATTAACATCTAGTTTCTTCTTATAATTAACATCATATGGTAGTGTGAATCTTGTTTTAATTCATGTAAGTATAAATTGTCTCTAAGCCTCTCACCATTCTTAATTGGACTTTTCTTAGTTCTCCGGTATTATATACCACCTGTTCCTGTCTTTCCCAGGATGTTTGTTGGAGAGTGAGAATTAACTGTCTTGGTAATGAAAACTATCATTTAAAGAGTACTTTGTTTGTGCCATGCACTGGGATAAGTATTTCACTTATAGTTTCTCACTCAGCCCCTACAGCAACCCTCTGAGTTGGTACTACCATTATCATCATCACTCCTTTTAACGAATGAAGGGAAGAAGATACAGAGAGGTTAAGCAACTTGCCTGAGGTCACACAGATAAGGAGGATTCACACCTAGTGGTCTCTTCTCCCTTCTCCCAGTCTATAATCTTCATCAGTAGGAAGTTCTGGTTCCCTTCTTAACGCCCTCATCTCAAGTCTGGGCTCTCACTGGCCTGTTTCTCGGTGCTAGTGAGAAACTGCTTTTAGTGTGTGCTGGTTTGGTTTCCTCCATCTTTGTTTTCTCCCCTGCTAAGGGTCCTGGTTCACCTGCTCTGTGCAGCTCTCTGCTTCCATCTGGTATTGATCTCCTGGCACACTAAGACTATTCCTCATACAGATGAATACACCTTGGGCTGTATAGCAAGGCTTCCCCAGGGCCATCTTTCCCAATAAGAGTTTGATCTCGTTCTTGACAAAACCTCTTAAAGAAGCCAAAGCTTTTAAAAATAATATTCAACATTTTAAAAAATCAATTACCAAACAAGTTCACAGTGGCTTTTCCTTTCAAAAGAACATCTGGATTTGTGTCACATTATCAGGACACTTTAATTGCATTAATATTTGATGATAAAATGTATTAAGGTCAGATTAACCTGAGAAATAAAACTGATTTTCTCTTTTCTTTCCACTACCTGCAAATTCTGTACCGGCTCTGTCTATAGATAATCAAAAAAGGGAACTATCCTCAGGATAGGTACTAATAGTTCCGTGAAGCTAAGAAGTGCACAGGCAGGAACTCAGCATTTACTAAGCACCTACTGTGTGCATCAGATATGATGTTATATATTTTACATCTATGAATTAAACAATAGCTCCAGAGCAACCCCAGCACATAGGTCTTACCGTGCCCATTTCATAGATGGGTAAACAAGCTCAGAAAAGTCACATAAATCAGGCTAAGGTCAGTGGCAGAGCTGAGATTTGAGCCTGAGTCTGTTTGCCCCCAGCTTCTTGCTGCAGGAATCATTCTCCTTCTACACTGCTTCTCAGAGAGTTCTGTCAAGAGCCCTGCAAGATAGGACTTAACTTGTATTTGACTAGAGTACTGAGCTTGATGAAAAACCCAGCAAGAAATGAGATCCTGTTACACAGATGCTCCCCAAATGACCCTGTGCTCCTGATTCCCAGCTGGGTCATACATGTCCCCAGAAAAATAGCCTTTCTTTACTTTCCATGGGTTTGCTACTTGCCTCTGTTTCATTCCTTCGCTCTCTTCTTGACCCCCCTCCCCTCTCTGCTGTGTCTTTCTGCATGTCTCTTTATGTCTCTATGTGTATTTATCTCTCTCAGTCTCTCACACAACCATACACACACTCAGGATACCTCGATCCAGCAGCCGGAGCAAGCGGAGATACCAGAGATACCACTGGTCCCAGAAGCGGTCCGTCATCCCACCCTGAACTCATCCTTCACAGCCAGTCCCCTCGGCAGAGCCTCATCCCACCACCGCTGACTCGAGAAGGCCGGAATCACTTGACGCTGGGCTCGCACACAGCCTGCTCTAAGCAAATGCCTGCCTGCAAAGACAGCCACCAGTCCTCCCACACAGAGGCTGACTGTGCCGGGAGCCGGTTTCACAGCAACAAAGGAACAAGTGCAGAACAACGCCGTGTGCAGACCGAGCCTGCCTGGACCCAAGGGGAGGTCGGAGATGCGTGGGAGGGAGTCAGGAAGGGCTTTCGGAAAGACGCGAGGTTTGCAGTGGTCTTGAGAATGAAACTCCACAGTCAAGTCCATGTGTTAAATTTTTTTCCAGCATCTCCTGCCATCCTGGCTTCCATGCCTCCCACACCAGAGGCCAGTGGCTCCTCCAGTAGAATGCGGGATGGGAAGCCAGAAGCTCAGCCATTTTGGACTTTGAGGCCAGTCCAGGAGCCCGGGAGCCTTACTGCCTTACTGCCTCACTGCCTCACTGCCTCACTGCCTCACTGCCTCACTGCCGGGACCACCGGCTCTCCTTGCCCAAGACTGCAGGACCTGCATGACTAGTAAAAGGCCACAGATCCTTTTTTCCTATGTCCCTTCATGGAACCTTTGTTATAGTAGAGACAGCATGGGCTCTGAAGCATAGGCTCTATAGTAGAGACAGTCATGGGTCCAAATCCTGGTTGCCACTTAATACTTGCCTGGCCTCGATGAAGTTATTCAGCTCCCTGTGCCTCAGCTTCCTCCTCTGTAAACCAGAGAGAACAGTATTTGTGAGCCTCAAAGCAAAAGAATATGTTTCTGGTGTCGCACCTGGTAGATACTGGTAGATACGAGGTTCTCCCTTACCTCTCAACCCCTCTCCCTCTTGCCAGACTCTCAATTCCCCACACGTTCATACATCCCACGGTTTTCTATCCCCAGGCCTTTGCTCCTGCCCTTCCTGCCAGTAGCATGCTCTCCCCACTCTCCTACCTCATCATGGCCAAATGCTCCTAATTTTTCCAACGAATAACTCAAATGCCACAGAATCCAGGCAGACTTCCCTGATCTTCCTTCCTTTATATTTTATTTTTTTCATTCCACCTTCTCCTTTGTATATGACTCTTCTTCCTTACTTACCCATAAACTCCATGAAGGTAGGATCTGCTTTTTAATCATCTTTGTGTCCCTCAAAGAACACTGAACTTCGCAATTACTCAAGTAATTACTAACTGGACAAATGAACATCTGAGTCTCCAATACAATGTTGTTTTCAAGGCAAGGAGAAGAGTAAGCTGCAGAGACCTCAGCCCCTGGGCATTGTCTAAGGCCTTTGGGGCATGACGGGGTGCCCAGTCCTTGCCCCACACACAGCCCGTCTTACAGTGGGCCAGCCTGTGACCCAAGTGACTGGGAGTGCTACTCACTGAAATGAAACCTGAGGAGTCCCCAGGTCTAGGAAGACCTTGTTCTCCAAGCCTAAAAACTACCCAACAGCCATCTGCACATTCATCACAGCTCTGTGCAGCTTAGGCCATGCCAGCAATGCCTTCTCACTGTCCTAGCAGAAATGGTGGTCTCCAGGCCTCCTGGTCTCCATCAGGCAACTGGCAGGCATGTCTCCCTCGGCACCAGCTCTTCCTTGGAACTTATACCTCCAAGATGAGACAGGCTGCCGATTTCTGAAGAACTCAGACCTGGGAGGAGGCACGTCCAGGGGGTAGAAGCCAGGAGGGAGAGGGAGAAAGCTAGCAGAGCCACAACCTCCACTGCCTGCCCCTGCCCCCCAGATGCCTTGTGGTTTCTTCTTAAAGGGCAGCATTGGGTCTCGGCAGAGATATCACCACCCAAGAAGCTACCTCTCAGGCTCTGTTAGCATTATTTTCTTATTACCCTAAATGGACAAGACTCCAGTGTGTAGTTAACACAAGAATGCAAACCCCTCCTCCTCCCTCCAGAGAGAAGTAACCCGGTGTTCTGCCCTTCACAAATAACAAGAATTCATCGCTCACGTGTGGCCAGTACTTTTTCGTTCACAAAGTACTTTCATAACTATCATCTCCTGCTTGCCCTGCAAGGTCTGTAGGATGGGAATCACTTTCTCCAGTATACAGAAGAGAAAACCCATGTTCCACAAGATTAAATAACTTGTTTAAGGTCAGGTAACTCGTAGGTGCCCATCTGTCTCCTTCCTGAGAGTTTCAGGGGCACTAAGAGATTCCTGGGAAATTGTGACATGTTTCACTAAGATATGGCAGCCCTCCAGTAGGGCAGGACCTGGGGAAACATGGCTGTTTCCTAACAGGAACCCTGAGGGAGGCCCCTCCAGGGCGGCGCTGACATGCCATGGGCACAGATTGAGTGGAGGGTCCAAATGTGGCCACTTATTAACTAAGGGCTTTTTATCTTTTTCTTTGGCCCTTGACTTATAACTGCAGAGAGAGTGCATCTCCAAATAAGAATGCCAAAAAGACTTTTTCTAACACAACTTGGGAGAAATCTGAAACGGGAGGCTCCCATCGTGGCAGGAGACCTAGACAGAGAGGGGCAGGGGAAGAGCATCTGACTATGAGGCTGAAAGTCCCAGAGAGTGCCCTAACGGTGCTAGTGCTACAAGTCTCATTCTTGGGGCTGGAGAAAGAAGCTGGCCCTGTTCCCCTCCCTCCAGTAATCAAGGGCAAAACAGTCCACACAGTCTCATTTGCAGAGGAAAAGGGAATAAAGACTGTCAAGAATAATATGGGTGCAAGCACTTCCCCCGCAAACAGACCTAAGAACATAAGCAATGCCCATCGGGTCAGCCCCAGGGTGAACCCATTCAGCCCGGAGTTTTACTCAAGATTGGCTTCAACCCATCAAGCTGGGCTCCTTGGAGCTCCCCAGCCCACCACTGCTCATTTCTTCATCTCCCACAGAGCCTCCTAAGTCTTACTTGAAATGTAGCCCCTCCAGAAGTTGAATAAAATGTTCCAAGAGACTGTCAGCATTGCCATTTAACTGCAGTGCAATTAGAAAGGATATTGGCCAGGACACAGCCTTATTAGTAGGTTTTTGTTGTTGTTTTTGTTTTGTCTTATACAATGCTTCCACAGTGGCTCCTTCTTTCCTCATGGTCAAAGCAAGCACAGCTATTCCCTTTGGCATGTTTCCTCCAGCCCACCCAGCTGGCTATAGAGACATGTTTTCCAGGGTCAGGCAGTGTCACCAGGCCAGCAACAGCCCATCCACTCCAGAGGGCCGATGCCCATCCGGAGGTTCAGCAGTTATTTGATGTCACAACATGGATGTGTTCCTTTCTCTTCAATGTTCCTTCTTCTTTCCTTGGCACCGTTCTTTCTCCCTCTCTTCACCCACCCCAACCTGAAAACACTGTGTTCCCAATCAGATAAAGCCAGCACAAGTGTATGGAGCAGAAGGCAAGCAGCACGGAGGGAGGAGAGATCCAACCAAATCTCAGATCTTTCCCACTCATCTCCTGGGACAACAATGGCCACTGTTCCCTCAGCAGCAACTGACCCAACTCCTCAGACACATGGACCTATCTGGCAAGTGAAGGCAACACAGGAGGTAGCATAGTTGCTGGTATCTGCAAACCAAAGTGAAGACCATCCACAGACATACTGATCTGCCCCAGGAAGCGGGCTCCACCCAGCTACCATTTTGCCCTGCAAGCTGTGCTTCAGTTGTAACATGAATCAAACACTCCAGTAGACAGCATCCTCAGCCACCTCCCACACCACTTCTGCCCCCTTGGCGATTAGCGCCCAAGTGGTGGAGTGGAGCCCAGGGCAACACATTCTCACGGATGCCATTTCAAGGGTGGCTTGGACCCCTGCCAGTCTCTCCCATGAGTTTAGTGTCCCTAGGTGAACGGGCTTCTTAGGTCCACACCTGAGGACAGCATCTACAGCAAGTATCACCTAGACACTGAAATTCAAGTCCACCCCTCCCAAGAGGCCCTTTCCAGCTAACCTCACACATTCTCTATCTCAGAGGTTCTCAAAGTTTAATGGGCAGCAGAATCACCTTAGAGGGTTGGTTATCCATGCAGATAACGAGGCCTCATTCCCAGAGGCCTGCATTTTTAACAAGCTCCCCAGAGAGTTCTGCGATGGTGATCCATCCACTTCAGTCCCTGCTCTCCTCTCCTACCCTCAGCACTGGCTTCGTGTCACTATCTTGAATTCTAGTGTGTACCCCACCTCCCCCAACACCCTGAGAGTCCAGTAGGGAGGGAGAGTCTAAGTCCTCCATTAGAGTATGCTCACCTGGAAGGCAGAGGGGCCTCTCTCCTTTCAAGGCCCAGTAGAGGACCCCACATGGAGGGGTGAGAAGCTGCCAGCCAGGAGGCTGAGAAATCAGCCTTGCCTCTCCACAGGCTCCAGAAAGCCTTCGTTCTGCCACAGTTCCACTGCACATCTGTACAACGGCTTTAAATGTCACCTCAAATATCAGGCCAGGCAGCAGGAGGGAAAGGCAGAAGCTAATTATTCTGCCTTGCCTCGGCTTTTGTGTAGCTTTCACCTGGCTCACCTCCGACCTCTGCTGAGGATCTTTAACTCTGCCTTGGCTGAGGCATGGCCAGCTCATGGAAGACAACCTTTCACTGCCCTGGGCTCTAAACCACCTTGTTAAGTGGTGAAAACCTGACCCCTCCTTACTGCTTCTCTGGGGGCTTCTAGTTCCCCCAGCAGTCAATAGAACCCCCAGGTTGCACTGAATCTCTAACACAGCATGCCACCCCAATACCCCCCACTGCCCACCCAAGAGCCAGTCCCCTCTCCTCCTTCATGACCTTATGAAGCTTATCTATCCTGGGCCCCATGCCCTCTCCATTAAGTCCTGTGAAAAGTACCATGACAACTTCATCCCATCCAAGGTATTTATGATGACAGCTTAATATTTAGGCCCTCAGGAAATATTCCTATTTTGGCAAAAGATAAAGCCTACATCAAAGGAAGACATAGAGGAGTGCAGGCCTTAGGTAAGCAGTGGTGGGGGTGGATATCTGCAGTCAGGGAGCGGAGTCCATGACTCCCTTCCCTAGGTCTTCACAGGCATGTCCCTGTGAGGCTTTCCCAATGAAGTCAATCATGGAAGTTGGTGCTCCTTCCATCTTCCCTCACTGCCCTGACCTCCCATTTCCTACTCAGCATGAACACCTGGTTGGCTGCCTTCCCCAAGGCACCTACATTGCAAAGGAGTTCTTGAGGGAAAAAAAAAAAAAAAAAGCTGGTAAATATTTGGAGAGACCCTCTCAGAACTGATCCATGAGCCTCTGCAATCCAGAGTTCACTATTCCCTCCTCTGTTTCCCTCGCAGCCAGTCACACAGTTCCTCCATCTCATTTCCACCAAGAGTCATTTCTCTGCCCATCAAAGGAGGTAGTGTTACTTCATGGCTGACAGGAGGCCGTTCACCCCTCAGGAGGTCTGGCTTCTCTTAAATGTTCCTCACATCTCTCAGTCCCTGAGGTCACCATCAGAGAATCAGGAAGCTAAGTTGCCAGTCACCACAGCTGAAGCCTCACTCCTTAGGCCAGGTGGAGCCCTCCTGTGAACCTCTACCTGCTCTCTCCATCCCATGCCCTTCTCCATCCCCTCCAGGAACTTTTCCAGATAGCCCCCCTCAGCAGGTCTGCCCAGTAAAATCAGGCACCATACCATGAGGACTGGGACTGATAATAAATGTGAAGTTCAACCATATCAAAAGGAATCCACTGTATTGTCAAATAAATGCTAAATTTTGGTTAGCACATATCTAGAGCTCAACATTTTTTTTCTACTTAGTCCCTTTTTTGCTATAGTCCCTTGAGTATTTTTGTCTGTTTATGGAAAGTATATAATCTGTGTGTGTTACACAGGGCCACCCACTGTTAAATCAGAATATCTGACTCACCTGAATGCCCTGGCTCCCTACATACATACACATTGAGCTGGATAATGAAATTACTTGCACACTAGCCAATGTGAATTCTCTCTTCCTTGGTTCTTATTTTCAAAAAGAAAAAATAAAACTATTTGCAAAGATCACCTTACTTTTCAACAAATGAACTCTGCTTATGGTTCTTAAAAATAATTGAGTCTCGTAAATTCTATAAACCTTTTTATACCTTCTGTACCATTAATTTCCAAGCCTTCGAGGTATTGGGAAAGGGCTGAGGCTTTGGAATAACTTCCCACATCTCAGTTTCTTCATCTTTTGAATGAAGATAAGACTAATCCCATAAAACTTTAACTTTTCATGAGGAAAAGACAAAACAGCATATAAAATCCAAAGCACTACACTTAATACATAGTGGATACTTCATAAAGGTTAGTGCATTCTCCTGCAACAAAAACAAGCTCAGGTCACGCTGAAATTCTCAATTCATGGGACCAGAGTTAAGAGTCAAGTTACTGCTCCAAGTTTCCCAGGCTTCTCTACCTGCCCCCTTCAGGAGGGGGCAGATTCTTAGAGCTTACATTTCCTCTAATTCCTGTGACACTCTCCTTCCCTCACTAGGGAAATGAAAATGTCCAGCTGCCCCAACTCATCTGATCTCCTCTTTCTGACACAGGTTGGAAAGTCCACTGGAGATTCAATTATGAAAACTATTTTGACTATACCTTGTGACATACGTGGATGACCCTCAGCACTGGGGAGAAGAGAAACAATACAAAGTTCCCGATGGACCATCAGCATAGTGAACAGCAATTATTTGGCATCCCGAAAAGTCCATCAATCCTGGCCTCACATCATGCACTCAATAAAGCCTAAAGATATTCATGGAAAAAAAAAACTATAAAACTTCAAGAAGAAAAATTTTTATAGTCTTAGGGTGGGATGGTTTTCCTAAGCAAGACACAAAACTCAGTATATTGGCTTATATACACATTTTTAAAAATTTTTTGAAGGATATACAAATCACCAAAGGAGAACAGGAGGCTGAAGAATAGTAGTTAGAAGGATAACCTTTTACTGTAAATCATCTTACACATTTTAAATTTTGACCCTTGGACTGTATCACCTAACTCTTTAAAAGACATTTTAAAATAATGGAGTCAATAATAGATACAACTGTTCTTGGCGTCTGGCTGCTTTGTTGTGAGAAGGCTAAGCCACATGGAAAGGCCATGTGGAAGAGAACTACAGATGCTGGTTGAGACCCTCAGCTAGTCCCAGCCCCCTCCCAGCCACCAGAGGAAGCCCACCCTGGAGCTGCCAGCTATCCCAGCACCCCAAGGGATACCACATAGAGCAGAAGAACTGCCTGGTAAGCCCCACAATTATGAGAATGATAAATTGATGCTCTAAGTGGCTAAGATTTGGGGTGGTTTGTTACAGTGTAATAGGTAACGAAACAGAGCCACTGGTGCATGCAGAGCAAAGTAAAGCCCCACGATTCGATGAGATCACCAAGGAGATGTTGAAAACGATTGTGCCTTCTTTCATCTAGAAGGCAAAAAGCATGGTTAGTCTCAGGACCACATCTATTTGTTAACAGCTTGCTCTCTACTCTTCTTAGAATTCTGAAGATGGGGTTGTCACAGAGGGTGTCTAATTAACATGCTTGTTTGAATTATAAAAAGTGAAATTAGACTTTCTCTGACAGGAAGTAAGTATGTCTAATTTGGCTACTTGCTTTGACAATCAGATTTGTCTTTCCCGTTTCATACAAATCCATAGCTCCAAGATTTTGAAGAAAATGTGTTTAAAGCCTATTATAATATGCAACATGCTAGAAAATGTATTATTTGCAACCTTTAAACTCATGGTAAAAAAAAAAATGTTTAGGTATCCACTTAAATGTGTGAAGGGGCATAAAGTTTTCAATATTCTTTTAGAGCATACAGAAGCAAAAAAAGTCTGATGCCCACTGAATGACAGTATACCTTCACAAAGAAACACTATGCAGCTATGAATAAAGAATGATGAGGCTTTCTGTGAATTGATATGAAAAGATGTTCAAGACATACTGTTGGGTTAAAAATGCAAAGCATAGAGCAGGATAGTTAGTATTCACCTGCTTTTGATCAGAAAGGGATAACATAAGTATGGATTCTGATTTGCTTATATTTATAAAAAGAAATACTGGGAGGGTTCCCAGTAAACTAATACTGATGGTTACCTATGGAAAAAGTGGCTTGGTAGACAGGTATATGGGTCACATAAAGACCTATTTATTTTGTACTAATTTTTGAACACTGTGAGTACATTATATTTTCATATATTTTAAGTCCTCACAGAATAAAATAGTAGATAAAATTGCAAAAACATGAACATTAAAAGATAATGCAGGAGGTAAATATTTGCCATGGTTGCAACAATAAATTATACAAAGGGTTAATATCTCTAATTTACAAAAAGTTCCTAGAAATCATTAAGAAAAAGTTAACAACCTGGTATAAAAATAAGTAAAGATTACGAACAGACAACCCACAGATGAGGAAATATAAATGATTGGTAAAAAGTAAAAAGAGGTTGACCATTACTAATGATGAAGGAAATGCAAATAAGCAATAACAGCATGCCACATTTTACCTATAAGATTGCCCCCAGCAAAACACACACACACACACATACACACACACAACAAAACAACCAACCTAGTAGGAGACTAAATTGATATAATATTCTTCCAAGTCAATTTGGCAGTACAATCAACAATTCTAAAGTATATAGCCTTCAACCTAGCAATTCTTCTAAGATTCTCACCTACTGAAATATCTGTACTTATACACACATTGCAGTGTATTCTATAATAGAAAAAAATAAAAAGGAAAGAAAAAACCTAAATGTCCCACAATAAGGAACTAATAAGATAAATTATGACACAGCCTACATTATACTTAGAAACCATTAACAAAAGCAAGCAGTTTTATATGTAGTAACATGAAAGGGTTCCATGATCTATTATTGAATGAAAGGGTTCCGTGATCTATTATTGAAGGAAAGGATATGATTTGTGAAATAATTGGAAACAATTCTTATTATCCCACTTTTTGTGAAAATAGATATATAAATATATATATACACACTATCAGTATGTATTTCACTATGCATAGAAGAGTTCTAGTAGTATATATATATATATATATATACACACCAAACTATTAACAGTAGTTATCCCTGAAGAATGAAGAAAGGTAGTTAGAGAATTGTGTTTTATAAAATTTTATGTTGTTATAATTATTTAACTATAAGCACTTGTTACTCTGGTAATTTTCAAAGCATTTAAATATTGAAGCTGCTACTAAAGTAGCAGCTCAAATCTTTTCTGAAAAAGGAGGAGCACGGCAGCAATTTCCTCCTCTACCCCCTACTCATAAGGTCTAGAATATGAAATTGTCTTCAGAGAACCCACAGGTCACAGTAAAAAATTCACCAGACTTATCCACCTGTTCAAGTGACTGGCAGATAGAGTTCCATCACTATATCATGAGAAAATGCTATTCATTCCCCACTTTGTTCCACATCCCTTACTTACCACAAGAGTCATGATGGGTTCTCCATAACAAGCATTCAGGAAGAACCTCAACTCCTCTCAAACCATTCATTTATCAGCCACTTAGACACCTTATGGGATTTTGGTCAGCAATGGAAACTATGTTGTATCTGAAGTTCCAGCTCTAACCAAAGGGCAGTGACTGTCCAGAGTTTTGTGTTGAAGATTATGCGGCTACTTACAGGATAGATGGGGAAAGAATGGTGCCATCAATTAGTGATGTCTGCCAAAGACAGGCAGGAAGGCAGGAAGAATTGTAATACACAGGCTTTCAAGTCAGCCATCCCTGCCCTTGTACAATGGGCTCTGACTCCCCAAACCTCAGGCTTTAAAACTTGCCATCTCTACTTAGAGTTTTATGCATCAGGTGGGGGAAGCTGAAGGTGGTGGGAGGTAGCACAGGGTAAAGTAAGGTGAAAGCTGACTGTGACTGTGTCATTATGTGGTACGTCTATCGGTAGACTGTAAAGATGTGGGGTGTCTGAGGAAAGCGAAGGGGGCCCTCACAGGTGGAGCTGTGGCTCCAAACAGCTGCATATGGAAGACTCTGAACATCTGGTTGCAGTGCTGGTCTGAGGTAAGCCCTGAGCCTGGATTCCATCTGTCACGTCTTACTGAGCTCCTTATCCCAAAGACTCAGCAATTGTGCCCACGTAAGAAACATGCCTTTCACAATTTTGAAACCTCCAAGTGCCCTGTTAATTGGCAATCCACTCATATTCCCATAACCAAAAACAGAAAAAAGAAGCCAAAGCCAAAAAAAGTCCCAGAACTTCACGTGTTGTAACTAAAAACACTCAATAAACAAAGCCAGTCCTTGGGCTCCCTTGGGGAGTAATTGTCTAAGCATGCTTCTTTCTTTCAGCTGGTGAGAGAGACAGACGTGCTAAAACTGTATGGAGCTCATCTTGAAAGCATTAATTTTTCCAAACACTGATGTGCAACTCGTGCTTTTCCTGAGCAAGTGGCAGCAGGCAGTGAGGAGGCTGCTGAGGACACCCCTCCGTGCTGGGTCTGACTGTAGCAGCAACAGGGATTCAGAGGAAGTGGTCATACTGAAGCCTGGGGGAAAGTTGGGAATTTGGAAGTCAGAGGCCAAGGCCCAGCCACCATGACCTGTCACAGGGAGGGGCTGCACAACGCCCGTGCACTAAAGACTTGGGGTTGGATTACCATTTACAAACTGGAAGGAAAGAAAGCAGAACCAATGCCTTAACCCCCTTTCAGGCCCACTCCCTCGGGGCCAACTTGGCAATCAACCAAACTATTCTTCCTCACAGCCTGTAGCTCCAACAACCACACACAGTGGCGAAGCACCAGTAGAGGGCGGCCATTTCTGGGTATTGGTCTTTAAACCATTTTCCTCCTTCTCCCCATTTAGGGATGGGAATCTACAGTGAAGAATGTGATTTGGTCATCCAGTTAAACTGTTGTTTGAGCCCCAAGTCCCTTCTCACTAGGAGGTCAGGGGCACCCTCCCTGCAGCCTGTTCACATAGGATGAGACACAACAAAACCATCTACTGAGGCAAGGAATCTCATCGTCTGCCTGACAAATACAGACTCAACAATCAGGATATGCCACGAGTTCTGTCAGTCTTAACAAGACAATTTCCAAGTTGATTGCTACCACAAGGCCCATGCATATCTAACCGCATGCCAGGATTCTCACTGGGAATCAGTGCTACACACACACAGGCATAATAATTGTTTTGTCACCACCAAGGCTCCGCAGCCAACTCCCTTCAAATGCCAATTCTAACAGTTGTGTGAGATCAGTCAAATTACTAAACTTCTTTGTGCCTCCGTTTTCTGTAAAATGGGGATGATAATAGTATTTAAATAACTTCATAAATGTAAGGGGCTTAGAATAATATCTGGCACACAGAAAGCATTGTATATGTGTTTATGATTATCATTATGTTGTCAGCCTTCACATTTCCATGCTAAGCTATCTCTTCCCTTTGGATCCCTGCATATGCTCTTCCTAGGCATGGAACACTGTTTCCCATCCTGCCTTCATCTAGCTATCTGCGCTAATTCTTCAGGTCTCTAGGAAGCCTTCCTGGCCAACTCAGCTGGGCCAGCCATCCCTGCATCTGCGCCCACCACATCCTGTACCTTTTCAACACCATATTAGTGTCCCCATATTATCATCTGTCTTCCCAACCAGGTCCTGTTCATTGGTGTATCCCTAGCGCCTGGCATGGAGAAGTCACTCAATAAATATGTGCTGAATAAATGAATGGGGAATAGATGAAGGGCAGCTTTCATTCACTCAACAAGCATTTACTAAGTGCCTACAAGATGTCACACCCTGGACGATGCCTGGAAATACATGAAGCAACAGAACACCAAGGCTGCTCTCTAAGAGCTCACAGAGTTTCTGCCTCCTAGCAGTAATTCAAGAAAAGAGTGGAGGTGGGTTAACCCTGCCCAAGGCAGGGGGTCAATCAAGTACCAGAAGGAAGGGGTGCTCTCAGAGGGGAATACAGGTTTACCTAGGATAGGTCTGTTCAACTGGAAACAAGTAGCAGAAGCTTTGATTCTGTTTATTATGCCTGCGTGTGAAGAATCGATGTAGCTTTGCACTGATGAAAAATAAAAGGTGGACTCTTCTTTATTATAAGGGTGGTTTATTTACCCAAGCATCCATCTAACTCTTTCAAGAGAAACACTGGTTAGTTCATTGCATTCATGTTGTCTGCAGACTATTTTTACCACACTGTAAACTCATCTGAACTGAAGTCACTGTTTGTCATGATCATATAGTTTATATCCTACCCCACTGCTGCCTTCCATCAGCACCAAGCACCTAACGTAGTGCCCAAAGTAAAGGGACACTGCAGAGTGCAAAAGGGGCACAATTCACTCGTTTGGTATCACTTCCCTTCTGCATTCCTCACCATGTTTTTTAGCTTTGTTAAAGAAGTATTTGTTGTTTCTTCTACTTTTCTGAAGCAGAACTGGCACCACCACCACCTCACCCCCCAAATAAAGCCAGCTGTGGGATTCTGGAGAAGAGTTACTTGGCTGTAGCTTTGCCAGAGTGATAGCTCAGGCCCACTGAAGGAAAAAATGGGAAACAGAATTTCTACTTATAGTAAGAAAAAGTTAGAGCAACTTTTCCCTTGGAGATTACATCAAAGATACTTGAGGTTATATTTTCCATACTAGTTGCCCTAAAAATGAGGGAACATAAGAACTTTTCCTCAATGAAGAATCCAAGCCTGGCTACCTACAGAAGGGCAATGGTGCTGCCAAACCCCAGCCTGGGAAGCCATGCAGCCTGATGCAATTGCAGCTGGGCATCCAGGGACAGCCACAGTGCCTCCATACTGCACCACCCACCCAGAACTCCAGGACCACAGTCTCACCTTCACTACCATTTTGAGGGTCATCTGTGGCATGTCTTATAACAAGTTTCTAAGCTAGATAAAAGTAAGTTAGAATTACCTGCTTATCACTTCTATTCTTTTTATGATGATACAAAGCAAGCCAGTAAGGCTGTGACTCAGGGGAAGTCCTTTTACCATGTTTACAGAGACAATTTTGTGAGGATAACTACGTGTCAAGGCACACATATGTGCACTAGGCCTGTGGATATCTGTGTGAGGATGCCTCTGTTTTTTGTTTGTTTTTGTTTTGGGGTTGTTCTTTGTTTGCCTGTTTTTTCTGAGACAGGGCATCATTCTGTCGCCCAGGCTGGAGTGCAGTGGCTTGATCTTGGCTCTCTTTCAGGCTCAAGGGATCCTCCCACCTCGGCCTCCTGAGTAGCTGGACTACAGGTGTGTGCCACCACATCTAGCTAATTTATGTATTTTTTGTAGAAACGATGTCTCCCTATGTTGTCCAGTCTGGTCTTGAACTCCTAGGTTCAAGCGATCTGCCTGCTTCAGCCTCCCAAAGTGGTGGAATTACAGGCGTGAGGCACTGTGCCCAGCT